GGCTTTGAAGGTGAGGATGAGACATTTGAACTTGGTCTGGTGCTTGAAAGAGAGCCAGTGGCCATCAGCTATGAAGGAAGATCCCTTTAGCACCTGCTAAGTATCATTATTATGACACAAGGTCATAGACTGTCTGTTTTTAAAGCTAGGTCAAGTATACTTCTCAAAGTGTCATGATCGTTACTGGATCTAGAAAGGGTGGACATGAAAACCTTCAAATCGTTCCAATATGAACAGAAGCCCAAAGGTCAAGAACTGGAGGAAATTCCCTTTGTAACAACATTGCATTTTTCCAGCTCTTGTCATCTGAGGATCCCAGAGCACTTTGCTCACATCACAACACACTTAGGGGGCAGTGAGACTTTAATCCCAATCCCCCTTTTACAGGTGAAGAAGCTGTAGAGGGGAGATGACAATCCAGGTCTCCTGACTCCCAGTCTTGTGTATAAATAGAGCTGGGCAAAATTTTTCAGACAATTTATTCACCAAAAAATACAGTTTCAAGTTAACCAAAACAATTTGCAAACTCAGGTTGAATGCAGTGAGTACTGTATTTTCAGCCAAAAAAATGGATATCCCTCCCCCCCCCACACAAACGATTAAACATTTTGTTTTGACATTTTCAAAATGTAATGTTTTGTTTCAGACCATTTTTGTTTTGAAATTCAGCTCAATTTATTTTTAAAAGGGGTAAAAGACACCCGAAAATGAAACAAAATGAATAACTTTTTTTTCACGTTGACCCAAAATGATTATTTTTTTCCAGATTTTTCAGGTTGGTCACTGAGCTGAAAAATCAGTGATTGACTCAGCCCTCTCTATAAACCACCATAAAATCCTTTCCTCCCTTTTGCAATTTTATCTTTCTGTCATTCTAGAATAGTTTAAAACATGAAAATCAACATGCAAAGTAGCCTGGTAAAGTGAGCCAATCTACTGGTCTGAGCCCAAGTAGGGAAATAACCAATTTGACTAGAGAGTCGTGAACATGACAGGTCAGATCCTCAGTCTCTGATTTCTTGCTCTTTCTCTCTATTAAAAGAAAATTAGAAACTCCCCCTACCCCCACTGCAACATGAGGGAAATTTGGTCTGTTCAATATACCCCTCTGTGTTGAAATGAAAATGTATACATCAGTTATTTACAAAAGGGGCCCAGCGAGATGTCTCATTAAGATGGGAAATCTATATCCCAAGTTTATTATTAACTGATCCTGAGCACAGCTGGGAGCCAGGGGAGTGGATTAGTAGAGGCAGCCCTGTTTATAAATAATTGCATTGTTTAAAAATATATTCCAAGAATATTTGGCCTTTAAAAGGTTGATGTGAGAGAACAAACAAACTGAAGTGCTGAAATGTGTATTTCGAAAGGTCAGGGAGTGGGGAAATGTTTGGTTTTCAATGATAATGGTTATTCTGTCTTTCCATAGGACCTTGCTCTGAGGGTCTTGCATTGCTCGTCTACAGGGATTACTGAATTACTCCTCCCAACACACCTGTGAGCTACATAATTACTATCCCCATTTTAAAGGTGGGGAAAGCTACAGGGATGGGCGCCTCTATTGCAGTGTCCCAAATGGTAGAGAAGAGGCAGGACTTGGCAGGTGATGAATAGAAAGGGGATTCTTTAATGGGGCTGCTGGACACGGATACACCCTGTGGTTCTCTCTAGTTTCCAGATTGACTGACTGCAGCTAGTGTTGCCTTGTGTTACCACGCAGGATCTCCCTAAATTCTGGCCTGGACCATACAGTTATGGAAGGGACTGCTGACTCCACTGCACCTACAAATGCGGATATTAATAATGAGGCCTCGGTGATGTTCTCCAGCCAGCTCTGCAGTTCAGTGAATGGTCAGCAATTCAGGTGGTTTTGTTATTAAAATAAGAAAAAGACCATACTGGGGGCGGATAGGAGGAAGGGAATGTTGTGATGCTACGTGCTCTGATGTTCCCTGTGGTGTAATGCAGATGTGCCAAAGCTATAAGTAGGGTGACCAGATGTCCCGATTTTATAGGGACAGTCCCGATATTTGGAGATTGTCTTATATAGGCTCCTATTACCCCCCACCTCTGTCCCAATTTTTCACACTTGCTGTCTGGTCACCCTAGCTATAAGAGCCTATTCAAAAATGTTCCATAAGGAGCTTCCCTGCGACTAATCACTTAGGATGTGATACCTCAGCCATTTCCAAGGGGGATTCTACCTCTGAAGACTGCAGGGTCCTATGGAGCCAGTTCTTGCGTTTCTCCTCCCATCCAAGGGCTGGTAAAGTCAGTGGGTTCTTAATCTCTTTCTCTCTTCTTTTCGTTTCTTCTTCCTTGTTCTCCTCTGAGAGCAGGCAGAACTTGAAGGGAGTGTGCTACAGGAAGATGAGGTCCAAAGTAGGTCTTGTATTTTGTCCTGTTTGGGACCATTGTTATCTTCAGCTCTTCTGCCATCCCAGGTATGATCATCTGAAGAGAGTCTTGCTGGTTAGGACAGATCTCATTTACTACTGTCTGACCAGAATGAATTGTACAGTGTAACGTGCCACAGGCTGTATTGTGATCATATACACTGCAGGCACGAGTTTGCTGTTCTTTCATCCATATCCCCTCCTTGATGAGTAGGAAACTGAGGAATGCATCCTTCCCTTCCACATAGTATAGTGCTGAGTGATTGTAGGCACCAAAATAAAACTTTACATGGAGCCCTTTCTACTCCCTACCTTCTGCTCTGAGGCAGCAGGTAATTAACGTGCATGCTTCCCCAGAAATTCACTGGTATTGGCAATGATGCTGCTGCACAAACAAGGAAGTAAAGCAAAACAGTTGGGCCAGCTTGGAAGGAGTGGGGCATTGAGAAGGGATTCTAAGATCGGGGTGGCTGGGGCTGTAGGAAAGCGGGATTTGTGAAAGAAGAAAAGACCAAAATTAGAGGCACGTTTTTTTTTATTACAAACAACCAGAGAAATTACAAAGAGATGCTAGAAACACACTGCGCTACAGAAGGGGCAGACGTATTATTGTCAGACCTGATTCTGCCCCCCTGACTCTCTTGAGCCGTCTTTTGTATGCACTGAAGTCAAAGGCTGTTTTGGCTGCATTCAGTGGGATCAGGCCATAGATTTGGCGGTTTGGCAAAAGCTTCCTTGGCAATACGTGAGTTTAACTGGTTGTATTCCTTTGCGCTTTATATGCAGACTTGCTGGTACATGGCTCTAGGCACTTTAACAAGTGTTTGTAAGCACTTGGGTTATTATGTACCGTTAGCTGCTCTAGCAAACGGAGAGTTCTGTCCCATTCCCAAGCGTGGTATGTTGGCAAAGGGGCAGGGTTTATGAAGGAATCTCCTGTCTGAGATTCCCAGGTGTCCTCATTCCAGCTCCACATACCCAGCAGAGCTGCAGAGATTCCCTTGCGATGACCCCTTACCACCATCAAGGGCTGCTGTGGGGCCTACGCTGAGGGTAGGGAGACGATTCACTCTCCGCCCTCTATTGCCCCCTGGGGGAGCCTGCCAAACTTGGAACCTGTGGGGAAAAGGAGGGGGGAGCTGCTGACTACTTTTGAGCCTGGGCAGGGGGTGGGGGGCAGAATACAAGGGGCTGCCATGGGGGAACAGACTAAGGGAGATGGGGGCTCCCAAGGGGGAACAGGCTAGGGCAGGGGTTCTCAAACTAGGAGTCGTGACCCCTCAGGGGCTCGCAAGGTTATGTGGGGGGTCACGATCTGTCAGTCTCCACCCCTAAATCCCGCCTCTCCTCCAGCATTTGAAATAGAGATAAATTAAAAACACATTTTTTTATATTTAAAAAAAACACTCAGAGGCTTGCTGTGTGAAAAGGGTCCCCAATACAAAAGTTTGAGAACCACTGGGCCAGGGGCTCCCAGCGGGGAATAGACTGAGGAGATGGGGCTCCCATTCAGCCTCTGTCCCTCCTCACAGCCCCTGGCCTTTGAGGGGAAGCTGAAGAACGTTAGGCCTGGAAGGAAGTGAGGGATGAGGGAGAATAGGCTGCCCCCCAGAAATGTCCCCACACCCCCTCTAATGCATGGGAGTGGGGTAAAGGACCCAGGGGAGAGTAGAAGTAGAGCTAGTAGCAGCTACCCGAGCAGAACTGGGCTCTTGAGAGCCATGTGTGGGAGGAGACGTCTAGGGACAGAATGTTTTCATGTGCTGGGGTGTGGTCACTAAGGGGCAGTAGTAACTCACATGTGGAGGGAGGCAGAATTATTTGGCCTGTGTATGTTTTAAGACTCCCAAGGGGACAAAGCCCCCACACCATCAGCCAGTGCTTTGAGTATATTAGCTGTGTTGATGTAAATTTTAAATTCTAAGGTTTAAGTTAGTCGCATGATGTTGGCAGGTTCTGATTTCTCCCTGACCGGCCTGTTTCCCCCTGGAGTCCCTGTTGGAGGTCACTCTCCAGTTTCATGCTTTAAGGGATAGAGACAGCGGTGCTGGAAACAAACCTTGGTTAAACTGGCATTAAGGTTGAAAGTCAATATCAGTAATTTAAGGCTTAAAACAACCTGACAATGCTATTAACATCAGAAATCCAGGGAAATCAGCATTAAGGTTAAATTTTAAAGAATCCTGAATAGTTGAAAGTAGGTATGGAAATGCACAACTGAGGCACTCGGATGACCTTAACTCTGTCCCTGTTAGTGGCACTCCTGTTAGATAGGCCTGAATCAAAACCCCACCTACAATGAACCCCAAAATCTTGTGGTGTTTGAAATCTGGATCCAAATTCTGCAGCTAGAGTCCAGTTTGAGTGGTGCCTGCTGGACTCTGCAGCAGGCAAATCACTGCATTCCCAGCAGCATTCTGCATCTAAATTCTGTGGCAAAGAGCCATTGGTTTCTGTAGCAACTTTGAATACATTTAAAAAATGGCGATGAAGGGTTTTCTTGAGTTTGTTCTGAAAACGAATAAACCCAGGCAGTACAGTAACACCTGTGATGTTGGTCTGACATCATGGTCAATTATCTTTGTGCTGACCCGTAACGGTTAACTTTCAAAGTGCTGCTATATTTTTGTATTGAAAATGCAGACCTGTGGGTTTGTTAGTGGGGAAACTGGAGGGTTTAACAGCTGGCTTTGGGGCAGTGAGAGCTTTCGGAATATGGGAGAACATTAGGGGTTTTTGGGTAACCATGTTAATTGTCTGTTAAAAACCGAGCAGTGACATAATTTTGTGTCAGCACTGTTAGGTTTTAAAAGTTAACACTCTCCAGTGACATATGTGGGAGCAACTCACACCTCTCAAAGCTATTATTTGAGGCTGCCTGCAGACTCAGGCAGATGTTACTACACTGATTAAACTTTTATCTGGAAGCTTTTTTTCTCACAACCATAAGGTCTTCGAAATTTTTTATTACAATGAAAGTGTACAACAGTGACGCTGGGTGGGTCAGCAGAGGGGTTCAACCCTGGAACCTCTGGATCTTAAAGCAAGGGCTGTACTGCCTGAGGTAAAAGATTCAGCTCTAATAGTCAGTGGTGTAGCAGGCTCAACCTCTGTATGTGGTCCAGCCACCATGAGACAGGGCAGAGCACCACGCTGTGTGTGCATGGGTTATAAAAGCTTTGTAGAGTACAGCTTGACAGCAAGGGGTGGGTTCCCCAGCCGATTCCATGAGGAATCATGGACTACAGAGGCCATTGCCCTAAGGGCTACAAAAGTGTTTCCATTTTAACCTTGTCTTCTCTTGCTCATAATGTACTGAAACATTTGCCTTTTGGGCTGCAAGGTTCTAAGCTTGGGCCAGTTTGCACACTTGTGTATGCAGGTCTGTCTAGTCTATCCGTCACCTCATCCTCCACTGTTGCTACGTGGGACTGACTTCGCTTTTAAGGAAGACACGTTTTGGTGCCTTCTTGGTGTGATAGGGACCCTTTTAAACATCGGTTTGTCTGGAGGTTTTGGGCTTTTGTGGTGCATTCCCCCTGTTACTCAAGCTATCTGCCCAGGGCACGGACAGTCTCTCCCTGCCCACAGACTGCTGCCGCTGGGTTGCCTGGCTGACATCCAGGGGGGGCTTGCTGTAGTACCATGATTTCAGGAGCTCGTTCATCTGCTCCTGGTCTGTGATTCCCCGCAGGTGATCTTCTTCCCCTTCTCCCCCGTCGACCTCCTCCCTGGGCGCATTGAAACGCCGCAGTTTGATTTCCTGCTGCATGCTTTCGAAGAAGTGGAGGATGCACTTGTGGGCGAAGTCCCGGGCATGCTCGCAGCAGGTTTCGTCGAAGATCTTTTGCTCGATGTCGATGTAGTTGCTCCAGTAGCGTGTCTGCAGGAAGGCAGCCTGATTAAAGCAGGGTCTGAGCGACCGGGCAAGGCAGGCTACCACGATAAGGATCAGCAGAACACTCCAGCCAAGGGCCTGGGCGATAA